GCGCTACCACCGCGTGGTGAGCCTGGAGCGGTTCATGGAGCAGCTGGCGCCCCGGCACTGGCCGCCCGGCAGCAGGGTGGCTTATTGCTTCGAGGCTGCTGCCCAGAGAAGCGCGGATAAAAGCACGTGTCCCATGAAGGTGAGCTCCTCGTCAGCCCCGCGGGCACGGTTTAATTCCAAAGGCTACAACTGACTCATTCAGGTCGCCATTGATTCGCAAATTTAGGAGTTACCCGCCGCAAATCGGTCTGTGTGGCATTGCTTTCAGCACTTGTGGAGTGGCGTGCTGTGCCGTCATTAGTTTTCTTTGTCTACAAGTGCTTGGAGATCAGGGATACAGTCTGTGCAAGTAGATTTTATCACCTCAGATTTAATTGAGAATGTAGCTTATCTCCTGCGTTCTGTTTCCCAGCTGGTGTTAAAGCAACCTCTCTTAATTACAAGTTTGGGAGCTGTGGTGTGCTGGTTCTTTAAGACAACCTTTGCAACCTTCTCAGTAACTTCACTGTATACTCTGGGTGGCAAAGATTGAAGTTAAATATATAAATGTCTCCTTCCTGTGGAGCTGTTGTGTCAAACAGGCTGTTGTATCCCAGCTGCTTCCATCCTGGAACAGGCTCCTGCTTTGCACATCAGGATCTTTGCACATCCACCTTTCAGGCTTTGTGTGTGCACTAAATGAGCTCTTGTCTTTTCTTTGCAGGATGGAAATCCGTTTGGTCCCTTCTGGGATCAGTTCCAAGTGGATTTCGATAAATCTGAGCTCTTCAAGGGAATTTCCTTCAGTCCTGCATACAAGGACCATTGGATCCAAAGGTAGCAAGAAGATGCAAGAGTGCTGTCAGGTCACTGTGGGTGTTTAGAGTCACTCATGAAAGCAGCTGTGACTGTAATGTGACTTTACATTTTGGGGGAGAGATTGAAGTGGTTAATTAGTAATACAGTTAAAAATATTGATGCTTTTTCCATTAAATGTTTGCTAAGCACTTCCTGTGGGCATTATTTTAGGTATGAACTAAACTAATGGTTTGGCTGATTGACTTCTGAGCCAGGAATATTTAATTTATCAAGTATTTATTAAATATGTAATTAATCATCAAAAGGAATTTGGTTCTCACTTGGGGATTATGAACTGTATTTGTGTTTTCAGAGCCATGAGTGACTTTAGTGGTTATCAGTAAGTTTGGGTGACAGAATTGGTCTAGTCTGGGGTGAAAATGTAACATCCCATTGCTTGGTAGCTCCTCACTGCATGTTTGAGGTTCTTCTCTTATTGTCTGTCAGATAAAAGGTCTGAGGTAAAATACAGCCCCTGAGATTTTTTCAGTTCAAATGGCAAACCAGCTAAAATTATCTCAATTTGGAGCAATAAATGTTGCATATTTTGGAGTGTTCCTTGTTTCTGCTCTAACCTTCACAGCAGCTTTGTGCAGGTTAGGTCACATTTCAGCCCTCTGGGTTTGGTTTTCTGTAGGTTTCCAGCCTCTGAGCACCCTGTTCTCGCCTTACCCGGAGCTCCAGCCCAGTTCCCTGTGCTGGAGGAGCACCGGCCCCTGCAGAAGTACATGGAGTGGTCGGATGCAATGGTGGAGAAGGGGGAATCCTACATCCAGTCCCTGCTGCTCCGGCCCTACGTGGGAATCCACCTGAGGATCGGCTCTGACTGGGTACGGCACAGTGGGGTCTGGGCAAAGCTGCTCTGAAAGGAGCTGTGCTGGGACAGCACCTGATCCCTGCTGCCATCCAGGAGCTCCTTGTGTGTTAGCAGTGGTGCTGGGATTCTTTCAGACAGGCAGAGGTGGGGGACATGGTGGTGTTTTCTCATTTGAATGTGGTACCAAAAAAAACCCGAAAAAATTTTGTGGTGAGGTGGGGTTCAGCCTCTCCTCCTAGCGACAGGACAAAGGGAAATGGCTTCAGGTTGCACCAGGGGAGGTTCAGGTTGAATATTAGGAGAAAATTCTTCACTGAACTGAGTGATTGAGCACTGGCCCAGCCTGCCCAGGGCCATGGTGGAATTGCCATTCATAGAAGCATCCAGAACACAAGTAGAGGTGGTGCTTTCTGATAAAATTTAGTGAGCATGGGGTATCTGTTCAAAGTTTGGACTTGATAATTTCAGAGACCTTCAACTTTGATGATTTTTTATTCTCTCTTCCTCTTCCAATAGAAAAATGCCTGCAACATGTTAAAGGATGGGACAGCTGGGCCGCACTTCATGGCTTCACCGCAGTGCGTGGGCTATGACCGCAGTGCTGCCGTGCCTCTCACCATGGACATGTGCCTGCCAGACCTCCGAGAGATCAAACGGGCTCTCAAGCTCTGGGTGGCAAAGATTGAAGCTAAATCTGTTTATATTGCTACTGATTCCGAGCCCTACACAACAGAAATACAGCAGTTCTTCCAGGGAAAGGTGAGTGTTCCAGAAATCTCTTCTGGCAGGAGTGCTTGGGTAAAAACCTTCTTTGGCTTCTGGCCCGAGGCTGTCATGGATAGCAGACAGGCAGTTGTGGAATAGGGTATTCACAGCCAAATATTGGCATCTCAAAGTGAATTTGGCTCATAGCAATAAAAATTATCCTGTAAAATTCTTTTTTTTTCTGGGAGATTGAAGAGCATTGTCTGGCATGGTAGTAAATATTTCCATGAAAAGGATTTAAATTAAATAAACCTAAGTGATTTTCAGAAATGCTCTGACATTGATCTAATCATAAATGAGTTATAGGGCAGAGAAAGACAAAACTCACTCTCTTTCTGTTGTGTATTCAATTTCTAACATTATGCCAAGACATTGGATTGTGATAATAGCTGACTGGATTCATCTGCTCTCCTCGTTTCTCTGCAGCTCAAGGTTGTCAGCTTGCAGCCAGAAGTGCCTCAGATTGATCTGTACATCCTTGGCCAGTCCGACCACTTCATTGGGAACTGTGTCTCTTCCTTCACTGCCTTTGTGAAGAGAGAACGTGACATCCATGGGAAACCCTCCTCGTTTTTTGGCATGGACCACCCTCCGAGGCTGCGGGATGAGTTCTGACCAGAGGAGGAGGAGGATGAGGAGCTCCCTGGTTCCAGGGCTCTGAGCTGGGCCCTTGGTGCTGCAGCATTCCCTGTGGGCAGTCACTGCTGGGCTGTGGGAGAGCTCCTGCCCTCCAATGCTCCTCACAGGCCCTTCCAGACTGTTCTGTCTGATATCTTCTGTGTTTCCAGTGTGAGCTCAGATGGGAATTTAAATCATGTGGTTTATAGGAAACTATAAACTATGTATAGTTTTTTAAGATGTAGCTTTTATAGTTCTCACTACTTGGGATTCACCAGCAATCATGATGAAGCAGCTGCTGAGATTTCCTCCTCTTTTTTTTTCTCTGTTAATTCTTAGCTCTCACCTGGAGGTGTTTTGAAGCTCCGTGTCCAAAACTGACCATTATTGGCTCTTTTTGAGTATAAAACTTCTGTCAGGCATATCAGGTTCCCTGGAAAGGGCGTGCAAGGTGAAGCTCAGGACTGAAAAAGCTCTGGGGTTTATCAAGGACTGCAGTTGCCTTACCAGCCCTGTGTCACCACAGTGCCTCAGTGTCCCTTCTCCTGTCCAAAGAGACTCCATACCCTGTGCTGTGGGGCCCTGGATCTCTTTGGTGGTGCTGGAGGAGTGCAGTGGGATGTGGTGTGACGTGGCAGCTGCCTGTTCAGCCTCTCTGCTGAGAGCAGCCTGGGGCA